TCCTCGATGCATTGTCGTTCGAAGTTGACTACGTCAGAACCTAGATTGATCTCTGTTCTATCACGGACCTTTCGAAGCCGTATATTTGATTGATGTTTTCAAGTTTTGCCAGATTTTCATCCAATTTCAGAGACGCAGACGAAGAATTCTTGAGAATCCAGAACGCAGTAACCGAACAAATTAAATTCTATATATTGCTTATCTTTTGGTTCCGAATCTTCTCCTCCATATATATATATATATATATATATATATATATATATATATATATATATATATATATACACACACACACAAAATTTATTTTAAGGTATTACACCGAAAAACATGTCAAAATGGTAAATTACTGGCGAGTGAACGATTTATTCAGAAGTATGAATAAATCGTTCACTCGCCAGTAATTTACAATCGTCTGATGATATTCAGTCACCCCCACTAATGGGGGTGTCATGGCACACAAGGCCTTTTTAACGTGGGCATTCCGAGCCCGTGGGCTCAATAAAAAAAATATGCCCATTGAACCCGTATAAACGGGTTCAGGGCCGGTTTTACCTCCCCGAAGGAGACTCAGCCCTTAGGCGTCGCCTTCTTCGGGTTCCTCCCGTCCGTAGTAAGAGAGTTCAACCGAACAGTCGGTAGTGAACTACTGAGTCTGATGAGATGCTTTGATATGCATCGAAACACGACTGCAATTGTGTAGCGATTTTGTCATGTTTTTCGATGTAATATCCTAAAATAAATAATATTGCTCTACTTTGTATTGAGCCTTCTTTTAAATTAAATGTTACAAACGTTGGAATTGTACTCTCTTCGTTCTCATCTTACCTGGATGAATGGATGGAGATATATATATATATATATATATATACACACACACACACAGGCTGTTCATAAAGTTCGTGTGCACTTAAAAAAAATTATAACTTTATTTGTATTTACGATAGAAATAATTTGTAAAAAGGATTAGAAAGAAGTAAATCTATATTTTTTAAGGTTTTATAGAAATTTTAATTAAGTTTCCACATGTCCTCCATCATTAGCAATACAAAGGGTAACACGATTTTGCAGTTCACGGAAAACATTTGCCAACTGATTTACAGTAATTCCTGAAATCACATTAGTTATTTTAACTATACTTAAAACTAGGTACATTAAACTTTATAACATTTTTTACAGAATATTTCTATCGCAAATACAAATAAAGTTATAATTTTTTTTAAAGTGCACACAATCTTTATGGACACCCTGTATGTGTGTATATATATATATATATATATATATATATATATATATATATATAAAGTTATGAAAAACTTCGTTATCCGAATGGATAGTCCCAAGGAGGATGAAATCCTGAGAGCTCTATGTAAATCCAGAGCTCATAATTTAAAGAAAAACAGACAACTTTAAGGTTTCATTATAATAATTTATTTCAACAGAACCCTTTTAAGGGACGCTGGATCGCCAGAAAACACTTCAAAAAATGAAAATTCACACTTTTGACGGGTAGTGTGAATTTTCATTTCATCTTTGTTTCATTTTTTCTTTTATATATATATATATATATATATATATATATATATATATATACTGAAGGAAAGGTGTCCGTTTTAGCAGAAAAAAACCCCAAAAACCTGCCACTTTCGTTTCTAACAAACCAGTCAGTGGTCCGGAGATCATCATCATGCGTCTTTATTTTTTCTACCCTGTGTCATATACAACCGATCTCGTCTTACCAACTGTGTAGCTCTTTGCTTGCTAAATTTTATCTGCCTATATTCTTTGATCGTTTTACAGAGAGATTCTCAAACTCTGGGTAATTACTCAGATATGGATCCCCCCGCTTCAAAAAAATAAATAAATAAATAAAATAAGACGAATGAAACAACAAACGAACGAAGTTTTTATTAGATCATGAAAACATTTTATGTAGAGCCTTAAATTTTCTGCACGGAATCGACGTTGAACGAAAACCTTGTATGAAAGCAAATTTTATTGTTGACTCTTGTGCTATTTGTAAGAAACAAAACTAGAAAAACTATTTAATAAAATTTATTTTTGTGCATAAAGGGCCCAAAACGTTCTGTCATCATTTCCCACAACATTTTTTTGTAAAGAAAGTTTTCGATTATGTAACATGGAAAAGAAATACCTACCTCAACACCGTATGACTTCGTAATTGCGGCTTGCGCTATCGGGGAAAAAACAAAACAAAACACATTGAGAGTTACCTCACCTGTGCAATATAACCTCACCACGCTAGGTCTTTTCATGATTGAGTTATTGAGTTTTGTCAAAAACATCGCCACCATTTTCATTAGGTTTATTGCAAACTTATTCTTAATTATAGCTCCAATGTCTAACTGTAACTATAGCCTATATATATATATATATATATATATATATATATATATATATATATATATGATTAATAAAAATATAAAATGTGTTAGCTGATTGATGTTTATATTCAGTACCCCCGATTCCAGAGTTTGGTAGA